ACACATACACACACATACACACACACATACACACACATACACACACATACACACACACACACATACACACACATACACATACACACACATACACACACACACACATACACACACACACGTCCCTATCTCCTCCAACCACACCCCCATCTTACACAGGTCTACCCTTCTTCTCAAATACTCTGTTCAAAATTCAAGTCCACCAGTGGTTAAATCACTGCTGAAAGCAGAGACCTCATGACCCAGTCACTTCCCCTAAACTAACCTTTAAACATTGCTCATATCAGGGACTCAAGATCTCAGTGCATATGCACGTTAGAGGATACTGCATAGCCAAACCATAATACTCAGTGCAGTTGACAGTAGAGTTCACTCGCCATAGAACTGAGGGAATTCCTGCCCATCCACACTTTGGAGCCCAGACTTGGTGGTATCGTTTATTCATGAAAACATTCTCTATCTTTGTTGGTTGATACAGGCTGAGGGGAATGTTAGACTTTGAAATTGGTCTCCAATAAATTAACTGAAAGTTTAAGAACCAAGGCTTTGGGGTGTGCTTCTTGGTGTGTGTGTGGAGGGGGGGGTAACCTAGGGTTTGAATATATCTAACTCTTGGGTATGGGTGGGAAATATGAATGAGATGACACTTTTCATTTGTTTGGGGTTTGGAGGGACAGGGCCTCACTATGTAGCCCTGACTGGCCTGGAACTCTCTATGTATACCAGACTGACCTTAAAATTATAGCCAACCCCGTGTCTCTACCTCTCCAGTTGGTCACTACTATGTGACAATACGCTTGGCTTCTCTTTCCTTTTTGCAATAGGCTCTTATTAAGTGTCCAGACTGGTCTTGAACTATGTCTGTAGCCCAGCCTGACCTGGGGTATGTGATCTTCCTGCTTCTCGGGCAGCTGGGATCCTAGGTGTGCACCACCAGGTCTGGCACCATGATATTCTGCTGTAGCAGCCCGAGCAGAGTCATGCAGTCAATGAGTCTGGCCCAGTTTTGTTCTTTGCAAACTGGACGTTCACCTTGAAACCAAATCTAAAAAGAGCGCATTTCCAGCAGGGGCAAGCAGAACACTCCCGCGACAGGCAGCCATCTGCAGCCTCCGGGAGAAACTGCGCCTGTGTTTATTTTTGCACTACATGCTTTCAATTGATGCCACGTTTCTGTGTCCCCCAAAGGTTTCTTCTGGATCTTCTTCTAGATGATAATGAGCAGGCAGAGCGCGCACGTGCTCGTGTGTGTGTGTGTGTGTGTGTGTGTGTGTGTGTGTGTGTGTGTGTGTGTGTTGCGGGTGCACGGACTGGGGAGTGTCACACATCCTAATCTATGCTGCCATCTAGTGGCCACTATGAAAAAGGTATAATGAGCTTGGGCAGCACTCGCAGACACTACCTCAGTTAACTGGCAACAGGCTGTCATAGTGCATGTTTTCCATATGAGAAAATAACAGAAAGAAGAACACGTGAATAAGCAAGTGGGGGAAGGAAAGACATGCTTTGTGTGCTGCTTTAAGTGCCAGGAGAGCATGCTAAGGGAGCTAAGAGAACTCAGAGCAGGGACACCTAAGCCAGACTGGGAGAAAGCATCAGGAGAGGCTTCCTGCAGGAAATAGCATCCAGCAGCTGGGAGGGAGGGCAGCTATTGTGGCTTCGCTCCTCTCTCCTTGCTCAGTGCCCTGGGGTGAAGGGCTTGTGTGATTCATAATTTGAGGATTGATAAACTGGACATATATGCCACCCTTCATCCTCTTTAAAGAGCTGAGAACTGACAAACAATGCTCTCAGAGCCCATGTTACTCTTACAGCTAAGTTGTGGGGAAGTTGGCTCCAAAAGGCCACAGAGTCCAGCAGCGAGATGAGAGGTGAAGTTGCCTGCATCCTTGTTAGTTTCTGGGCAGAGGCAAATCTGAGAGGTCCAGAAGGGAGCATCGGGTGTTTTGTCTCCCAGTATACATTTCAGGACTAGTGACTCTTCTGCTTCATGTCGCACTGGGGGCTGCAACAATAGACCCCTGACCACCCTCTTCCCAACACAAACAGACCCAGGGAAAGGATGTTGACCAAACCCAGGCAACCTCATAAGAAATGGCTATGGATCACCATCCCTGACTTCAAGCTCTACTATAGAGCTATAGGAATAAAAACAGCATGGTATTGGCATAAAAACAGGTGGATCAATGGAGTTGAATCAAAGAAAATGACATAAATCCACACACCTATGAAATGGTGCTGGCATAACTGGATGGCGGCATGTAGAAGAATGCAAAGAGATCCACAGCGATCATCCTGCACAAAACTCACGTCCAAGTGGATCAAAGACGTCAACATAAATCCGGTTACATTGAAGCTGACAGAAGAGAAAGTGGAAAGTAGCCTTGAATGCATTATCACAGGAGACCACTTCCTGACTATAACCTCGGTAGCACAGACACCGAGAGTGACAATTAATAAATGGGACCTCCTGAAACTGAAGAACTTCTGTGAGGCAAAGGCATGGTCAACAAGACAAATGGCAAATAGGAATAGGAAAAGATCTTTACATACCCCACATCAGACAGAGAACTGATCTCTAAAATATATAAAGCACTTAAGAAACTAGATATAAAAATACCAAATAATCCAATTTTTAAAATGGGGTACAGATGTAAACAGAATTCTCAACATAAGAAACTCAAGTGGCTGAGATGCACTTAAGGAATTGTTCAACATCCTTAGCCATCAGGGAAATGCAAATCATAACAACTCTGAGATACCTTCTTACACCTGACAGAATGACAGCCTATGAGAGGATGTGGAGTAAGGGGAACACTCCTCTACTGCTCTAAGACTGCAAACTTGTACGGCCACTTTGTAATATGGTAGTTTCTCAGTGCCAAGGTCCTTTGTGGCCCATCCCCAAGGCCTTCAGGGTTCAGACTGGACACTTCAGCAAGTGAAAGGAACCTTTTTCTTAGGGTGTCTGATGGCAAATGAACTCTCTCACACACGTGCTGTTCTGAATCAGTCTCTTTATTCTTCTGATTCTATCCTAATCCTCCTGTCCTAATTCTAATTCCTCCTAGCTTCTTCTCTTTCTAGACTCCAAACTTTCTTACAGGAGGCTTGGAGTGATAATTTAAAAAAAAAATTACAAGAGTTACCTCTCATTGGTCAAAAGCACATTCCTAGGGTAAGCAGATAAGGAGCTGAGCCAGTTATCATGGTAACATAAGGATTTCAAGGTTTCAGGAGTAAGACTGTGATCAGACCAGGGTGGGGGCCTCCAACTTTGAGGCATATTAGTACACCTGGCAAGCAAAGAATTGGCATGCTTTCCTTAGGGTGCTTTGTGTTGCAATGTTGGTTAGACATCTGCAACGCTGGCCTTGTGCATAGCTGTAAAGTTTTAAACTTATGATCTATTTACAAAAAGTCTTTAGTCCAGTTTGAATAGATCTAGTTATGAAACATGTCCTAGTATGTTTTCTATATACCAAAATTATATAACTAAATGAAAGACATCTTCATGACCCTCCACAGATAAATGTGCCTGTAATATTGAGATGTAATCATGAGGTTACATATGCACATTACATGAAAATGCATGGTAATGGGGAGATATTACAGCTGTTATTGTTCAAGTGAAATCACAGATGAAAGCAACAGTTTTCAGAGTCAGTGGCCCTGCAGGTCCTGCCTACCTGGGTTCCTCCATCTAAGAATAATTTCTCTGGTGGGTTGACATCTGAATTCTCAATTGCTTTAAGTTGTAATTACATCACAGCTCACAATAGCTTGTGATAAATGCTCCTGACATCTCAGAAAATTGGGAATCAATCTACCTCAAGATCCAGTTATATCAGTGTTAGGCATATATACCCAAAGGATGCTCAATCATACTACAAGGATGCTTACTCAACTATGTTCATAGCAACATTATTCATAATAGCCAGAACCTGAAAACAACCTAGATGTCCCTCAACCAAAGAATGGATAAAGAAAATGTGGTACATTTACACAATAAAGTATTACTCAGTGGGGAAAAACAAAAACAAAAAAAAAGACATCATGAAATTTGCAGACAAACTAGAAAAAAAATCATCCTGAGTGAAATAACCCGGACCCAGGAAGATAAACATGTTATGTACTCACTCACAAATGGATATAAGTGGATATTAGCTGTAAAGTAAAGGACAGCCAAGTTACAATTCACAGTGCCAGAGAGACTAGGTAACAAGGAGGGCCCAAAGAGGGACACGTGGATTTCCCTGGGAGGGGAAATAGAAGAGATCTCCTGGGTAAACTGGGGGCAGCGGGGAACATGGGTGATCAGGTTGGGCAGGTTGGGGAATGGGACGGAGAGGGGGGAGTAATGAAAGAGATATCTTGATGAGAGGGGCATTTTAGGGTTAGGGAGAAACCTGGTACAGGGAAACTCTCAGGAATTCATAAGGATAACCTCAGCTAAGACTCCTAGCAATAGTGGAGAGGGTGCCTGAACTGGCCCTGATTGTCATCAGAAATACTCAATCCTCAGTAACTAAAGGAAGCAGATGTAGGGATCCACAGTCAAGCACTAGTTGGAGCTCTGGGAGTCCAGTCAAAGAGGGGGAGGAGGGATTGTAGGAGCCAGGGAGTCAAGGTCATGACAAGGGAACCCACTGAGACAGCTGACCTGAGCTCCAGGGAGCTCACAGACCAACAGCTAGAGAGTCTGAATGGGACTGACCTGTGCGTGTGTGTGACAGTTGTGTAACTTGGTCTTTTTGTGAGGTTTCTAGCAGTGAGATCAGGACCTGTCCCAGGCACTTAGCTGGATTTTGGGAACCTATTGCCCCTGATAGGTTTCCTTGCTCAGCCTTGAGGCAGGGATGCAGGGGGAGGAGCTTGGTCCTGACTCAACTTGCTGTGCCTTGCTTTGTTACCTCCTATGGGAGGCCTGCCCCTTTCTGAATGGAAATGGAGGAGGTGGGTAGGTGGGAGGAGGGGGAGGGAAATGAGAGGTGAGGAGGGAGGGAAACTGGTCAGTATGTAAAATAAGTGGAAAAATTTAATTTAATAAAAAAGAAAGGAAGGAAGAGAGAGAGGAAGGAAGAAATGGAGCTGAGTTTTACAGTGACGGTTCTTCGTTCTTTTCCCTACGTGTTCAGAGGACTTCCTTGTAAGTTTTTTCAGGTTTCTTTCTACAGCTTGTTACCAAAAACCTGTACTATCACCCATAATGCTATTTAAGGAAGCGATTTCCTAACCGCACGGAGGACAGGTGATTGTGTAGCTTCGTACCATGGATTTTCCAGATTCTTACATAATCATGCTCCCTCCAGGTGATGTGGCCATATCACCTTGGATGTGCTGACACTGGAATGGATGGACAAAAGGACTGGCCAACAATCAACAATGCTATCTTTGAGAAGCCACCTACAGAGAGGGAGAGCCCTGGGCCCTGTCTGTTGGATGTGTTAGGAAAGAATTTCTTCCCCCAGCTGCCTTCCAGGTACACCAGGCTCCTTGTCCCCATTTGTGAAGCTGAACTCTAGGATTAGGTAAAGTCATTGCTTCTTCCTCCCTATGTCTCAGCATCCCACAAGCTCAGAGCTCTTAGACTCATCACTGCCTATTCTAGCAACTCAACACATCCTACAAGGGCTAGAGAGCTTAGAGGTGGAATGCCCCAATATGGGGCAGTTTCACAGCTGTCATCATACAGGTTGCCCCAGCTCTGTCCGGCCAGCAATCACTCTGTGACAGATAAGGAAGCAGGCTCAGAGAGGTTAGGTAACATTGCCAAGGTAACGTATCTGCTTTGTGATATCCCTGAAGGGAAAAGGTCAAAGTGCCCTAAGACCTGATAGCATGTTCACTTGCAGTGAAGCAGTGGAATTAAAAACTTAAATCAGTCTCTCTCTCTCTCTCTCTCTCTCTCTCTCTCTCTCTCTCTCTCTCTCTCTCTTTCTCTCTCTCTCTCCTCTCTTTCTCTCCTCTCTCCCTCTCTCTCTCTCTCTCTCTCTCTCTCTCTCTCTCTCTTTCTCTCTCTCTCTCCTCTCTTTCTCTCCTCTCTCTCTCTCTCTCTCTCTCTCTCTCTCACACACACACACACACACACACACACATACACACCATTCCCAGTAGCCAGGTCTCACGGGTGCTGCGTCTTCCTGATTCCATTGCCACCAGGAGAGCACACAAATGACTAGGATAATAAGACGATGAGAGATTTCCCTTACACTGGAGGACTCTGTTGCCATGACGGTATAAGTAGTCAGCTTCATGTCCTAGTGGGTTTCATCTTCTGTCTTGTTCAGAACCGTCACCTTTGGAAGACAAAGGCCTTTGGCCTCTGTGTACGGGTTCCTGCCTCTGCCTCACCCTTGACTTTGCTTTCCCTAAAGCAGAATTTGTTAATCTGGTCAGGTTCCAGGACATCCCTCCACCCGCCTTATGAGGTTGGTCACAGCAGAATTCAGTAGCCCTGTGCTGTCCTTCTGCTCCTTGTGTCTATAGCTGGGCTGGCCCAGGTCAGGCTGCCTTCCCTGTGGGCAGGACCAGCTGCTTCCTTCTGGCCTTCTCCAGAACTGAGGGGACAAATAAAGCTGGAGGAAGCAGCTAGCCGCAGCTTGACCTTGATTGCCCCAAGCAGCTGTCCCTGTAGCTCAACTGCAGACAGGCTGTGTTTTTATTCCCCACTTAGCTGGGTATAGGCTGGTAAGTGTTTAACCACCTTCTCTTGGGGAAGAGGAAGACAGCTCTGCATTGGCACATATGCCCGTTTCCACAGTGTAAACAGTCTCCTGGGCATCATTAGAAAGAGATGCAATTAAGCAGTATTTCCACCCTACAGACACAACAGGAGATTATCTCAAGAGCATAGATAATAGCAAAATAATTAGAAAGTGCAGAATTGTCAACGTATGTTGTTGATTTTTAATTTTATGCATATCTGTGAGTGATTGCATCTATGTGTGCATCAAGTGCCTGCTATGCCCAAAGAGGTCAGAAGAGGGCATCAGACCCCCTGGAATTGCAGTTACAGATGGTTGAAACTGGTGTTAGAAACCGAGCCTGGGTCCTCTGCAAGGGCAGCAAATACTCCTAACCACTGAGCAGTCTCTCCAGCCCCATGTGTTACATTAGTTTTAAGTATAGCTCAATTGTAAATTGTTTGGGGTGGGGGGGAGTTGTTAATGTTATTAGAAAGAGCCTCGTGGTACTTAGGCAGACTTGGTGTTGAAAGCCTGACTCTCTCTGACCAGCTCTAGCATAGCAACTATGGCTCTGGCAGGCCTTGCCCTTCTCCCCCATTCCCTCTGCCTTGCTAAAAACCATTACATTGCATTCCTAAAGCTAGTCTCCAAGTTCCATTCCCTTATTTGTCCATTCTCTCCTTCTGAGGCTGACTACCAAGGTCCAGCTATCAAAGTATTGCAGTCCAGCAATCAAAAGCCCCCTTTGGACCACCTAATGAATATGCCCAATTAAAATTAAATACCTCATCCCAACACAGGGTTCCCCCTGTACCTTTATAGACTGCTATTTTCCTATGGGTCACATCTGTCTCCTCTCTATCCAGAGGCAGTTCTTTGTCCACCCCCCCTTCCCACTCTCCCTTCCCCTTCTCCCTCTTCCTCTATCTCCTGTCTTTCTCCCTCCGGAGCAGATAAATCTCCTCTGTACTGAGAACTTGGTCTTGGGGTGTCCTAAGTCAACTTTGAGGTTTTCTACTCCTATGCCCACAGTTGACTCTTGTCTACACCTGCCCTGACCGAGGGAGTTACTTCTACCACAACCCTTTCATCTGCCAGACATCTTCTTTGGAGAAACAGCCTCTTCCATTCTGTCTTGTCACCAAGAAGCAATCGCATGATCTCATGTCATGGGGTGCACAGGTGTGTAACAGCAGAATACTGTCAGCCCTGTCCTCTCTGGGGACAAGGGAAAGTTGTGGGGGAAGGAATCCAGGCAACTCCAGAGACTATCAGTATTTGCACTGAAACATCGCAGCTCCATTCTCCTCCCACCCTGGTCTCTCTGCAGGGTTACTGTGATGGGACTGCCTGTGGCCCTTATCTAGGCACACAGTCCTCTCTGCTGCCATGTCTCCCCTTCATACCTGAGAGGCCTTGGGTTTGCAGGAGCTAGTGGGGTTTTTCACAAGCAGCCCAACCTTCCTAAATACTGTGTCCTTGTTCACTGGGGCTATGACAAAGCACAGCACTTGGGGTATCTCCTACACAACAGACATTGACTTCTCATACTTGTGGAGACAGGGAAGTCCATGGTCAAGATCATGGCACATTACCTATTTCATGAGGGATTGCTGACTGACTCTTTTCATTGTGTCCTCACATGAGAAAGAGGTGAGGGAGTTTTTTTTGGGTTGCTTTTCTGGTTTTGTTTTTGTTATTTATTTATGAGAGGGGTGAGAGAGAATAGAAATATGGGTGTGCATTGCCACAGGGAGTGTGTAGTGGTCAAAAGACAACTTTTGGAAATCAGTTCTCTTCCTTAATGGGTTCCAAGGATCAAACTTGGGTCATCCAGCTGTGTGGCAAAAGCTGCTACCCAGAGTCATTTTGCCAGCCCTGAGATCTCATATAAGGGCACTAAACTTATTAAAAGAGCCCACTTTCATGACCTAATCCCCTCCCCAAGTCTCCACCTCTTAACAAAGGGTTGCATTTTAGCAAATGAACCTAAGAAAGCAACAAAGATTCAGCTATAGCACAGTCCCTTAATTAAGCTCTCTTACATTCTTTTGAGGAGCTTTGGGGATGGCTCAGTTTGTAAAGCATTTACTGCACAAACATGGAAAGTTGTGTCCAGTCCCCAGAACCCTTGGTTGAAAAGGCAGTTTTGTTGCCTACCTGTGCAATCTCCAACCCTGGAGCTGGTGAGCAGCCCTTCTACCTAATCCAGAGACCCAGGTCAATGAGAGATCCTGTCTCAAAAAAAAAAAAATTTAAAAGGTGGGGGAAACACCATCTAACTGCCAAAGGAGATTACTACAACATTACTGGTAGGTGATTCACAGATTTATAGAAACGGGTTAATTTAAGATGTTAGTTAATAAGAAGCCTGAGCAAACAGACCAAGTAGTGTTGTAATTAATATAGTTTTCTGTGATTATTCAGGTCTGAGTAGCCAAGAAACCAACGAGCAATCTCTGTCTACAGAATGCCATGTCAATGTGGGCCAACTATATCCACATTAAACCCGAGAGAGCTTGGGAAGGAATTCTAGACACAAAAGAACAGAACTAAGCACAGCTTCTTGGTAGCAGCATATTTTCAGATAAGCTCTGTTTGCTGGCAGCAAACAGAGGCATGGCTCCTTTAAAAGATGTTGAAATAGGAGCGGCGGGGCTGCGTCCCCGGCACCCGGCCGCCCACATGTCTAGTTTATGCCCAGAAATAATTACACGGAAACTGTATTCTTTCAAACACTGCCTGGCCCGGCTAGTTCCAGTTTCCTATTGGCTAGCTCTTACATATTGTTCTAACCCATTTCTAATATTCTGTGTAGCCCACGAGCTGGCTTACCAGGGAGGATCTTAACCTGTGTCTGTCTGGAGCGGGAGAATCATGGCGACTCCTCGACTCAGCTTCTTTTTCCCAGCATTCTCTTCTGTCTACTCCGCCTACCTAATTTTCTGTCCTATGAGGGCCGAGGCAGTTTCTTTATTATAATTAACCAATGTCCTTCCCCCATCATTAAAGAATGAACAGTTATAGTTTTCCTTAGTTATGATATAGATTATTGTAATTTTTACTTGATAACTGTTTTGTTATATGTAATTTTGCTATGTTAAGTTAAAGCCTTCCTTTTTTTGTTTAAACAGAAAAAGGGGAAATGATGGAGGAAGGTCATTGGTTAATTATAATAAACCAACTGCTTGGCCTCATAGCTTAGAACATAGATGGGAGGAGAAAACAGAATAGATTTCTGGGCGGAAGAGGAAGTGAGGTCAGACTCTGCTCTGCTTCCGGAGAGACTTGAGAGATCTGCTCTCTGGAGCAGAGACGCCATGCTCCGCTTTCGACCCAACATGGACAGAGGCTAGAATCTTCCCGGTAAGCGCACCTTGGGGTGCTTACACACATCATTAGAAATGGGCTAGTCCAGGTGCGAGAATTGGCCTGTAAGGGCTAGAGTTCATGGGCCAAGCAGTTCTTTAAATGAATACAGTTTGTGTGTTGTTATTTCGGGCATAAGCTAGCCAAGCGGCCGGGGTGTTGGGGACGCAGCCCCGCCGCCGCGCATATTTCAACAAAAAGATCTCATGACTCAGCTTTAGTGGCAAAAACTCCATGACTTTTTTAAGGGAAGGCTTCCTGGCTCATACTAGCAGCATGAACTCTGGCTCTTTTGGGAGGTCCTGCACTTAAATGGGGTTTGTGAAAAGCACATTACTAGTTGCTTAATGGTGACATAGACTTGCTGCATCCCTGGAGCTGGGGCAGTGAGCATGGTTCACAGAGCTGGTAGTGAATGGACCTCCGCTATGTTGGACTGGGCAGGGTCAAAAAGCAAAGTAGCCTTAGTTAGTCCTATGGTGTGGGAAGCATTTCTGTGTATGTGTTGCTTTTATTGGTTAATGAATAAATAAACTTCTTTAGCCTGTGATAAGGTAGAGTAGAGCTAGGCAGGGAAAACTAAACTGTTGGGAGAAAAAAAGGTGGAGTTAGCAAGATGCCACGGAGCCGCCAGAGGAGAAAGATGCAAGCCACCAGTTGGAACCTTGCCAGTAGGCCACAAGCCTCATGGTAAAATATAAAATAATAGAAATGGGTTAAATTAAGATATAAGAGCTAGCCCATAAGAAGCTAGAGCTAGGGCTGGAGAGATGGCTCAGAGGTTAAGAGCACTGACTGTTCTTCCAGAGGTCCTGAGTTCAAATCCCAGCAACCACATGATGGCTCACAACCATCTATGAGATCTGATGCCCTCTTCTGGCCTGCAGGTGTACATGCAGGCAGAACACTGTATACATAATAAATAAAATAAAATAAATATATTTAAAAAAAAGAAGTTAGAGCTAATAAACCAAGCAGTGATTTAATTAATACAGTTTCTGTGTGGTTATTTTGGGGCTGAGCAGCCAGGAACAAACAAGCAGCTCTCCTACAACAGTCCTAGCCACACTGCTTAGCATTTTAAGAAGCACTTCTGGTCAGAAAAGACAGATTTAGACAGACACAAGTCTCTGAATGGGTCATAGTGTGTTTAGAAAATGTACATAGGCTTGGGAGAGAGAGGAAAAAGAATACAGACAGAAAAAGAAGTACAGATAGTCATAGATTAAAGAAGTAAAGATAATAAAATAAATACTAAAAAGTAACAGAGTAAAAGAAAACAAGCCACATAAAGATGGAAAATACTCAGAGAGTCTGGGTTATGTATATTGTGTTTTCTTTGAATTTTTTGACTGTAGAAAGACATTTGATTCTGGGGGCTGCTAAGATAAACCAACATATATATTTTAAAGGTATCTTTACTTCAAAATTTGAATTTAAGGATATGTTACTTTGGAAAAGAGGTTCTGATTTTGTTTCCACAGAAGATGAGAAACTGTGGATTTCTTTCCAGATTAATGTAGTTTGATAGAACAAGACCACTGACAGGTCTCCATAAACCCTTAAAGTACTTTGCCCAATAGACAGCAGGAAGAAGTTTGAAGAAAACAACACCGAAATTCTCAAAATGGTATGTAGTAATAAGTGTGGTGGGGCTGCGTCCCCAGCACCCCAGCCGCCTGGCTAGCTTATGCCCGAAATAACAACACACAAACTGTATTCTTTTAAACACTGCTTGCCCATTATATCCAGCCTCTTCTCGGCTAACTCTCGCACCTGGACTAACCCATTTCTAATAATCTGTGTAAACACCCCAAGGTGCGCTTACCAGGAAGATTCTAGCCTACGTCCATCCTGGGTCGGAGCTGCTCCAGAGAGCAGAGCTGTCAAGTCTGAGCTCACTTCCTCTTCCTCCCAGCATCCTGTTCTGTTTACTCCTCCCACCTATGTTTTAACCTATCAGGGCCAAGGAGTTTCTTTATTGCTTAACCAATGAAATCAACAGATTGATATATGGCACTCCCACATCAATGGTAGATTATAAATGTTTGGTTTCATTTAAAGGAAGATATGATATAGAAATGAATACTTTGCATTGGTATGGATCTTGGCTATTGATACATATTTAAGTTGATTTTGCTATATTTTGTATATGTATTTCTGTTCTTGTTTAAGGTATTATATGTTTGTGAAGCTCATTTAAAAATGTAATGTATAGTTAAGAAATAAAGATTAATAGATACCCATCTATAATAGTTAAACTGTAGTCATGTTAGTTAGGTTTTCTAGATGTACAGAGATATATTTCAGATGGATAGGTATTCTTCAAATCTTTTAAAGATGTACAGAATATGGCATTTAAAATGTTTTAAGAACTTAGACTTTTCTCGACAGTGAGACATGTCTACTTCTGGCAGCACTGGTTACTTCAGAGAGGTTGATGGGCATTGAAGAAACTCATTATGGAATTTGTCTTCAAGTGACAAGGCTAGTCACTTGGGCAAGAAACTGCTCTTGCCTGGACTTCTTGATGGTATGCTATATGAACTGACATGCAGGACCCACAGAAAAATGACTGCTGAACATGCCAAAAGAAGGTGACACAGTACTTTCTCCACCAAAGAAACTGCCAGACATTCTGATGGACACAGAAGAAAGTGACTGACAAACTGCCAATATAAGCAGAACAGATCTTCAAATTTCCTGCTTCACGGAAAGTCTGTTGGATACTATGGGCCTGTAGGCTGAAGATGGATGCCCCAAAGTTATAGAAGAACTTTGAGTGACTGTTCAGGCAGTGAGATGTTTCTGTCAATTCTAAAACTTTGGAAGTTTCTTACAATGCACTTCCTATTTACTTAGGTAATATAATATATCCTTCTGTTGTCTTTGATGGAGTAGAAGAATAGATAGCTATAATTATAATTATAACTGCAAACCTTCAAAGGACCAATGCTCCTCTTCAAAGGAACCAATATGGGTGAAAAATGGCCTTTAACAAAGGGAAACTGCAGGCTTTAGAACAGCTGGTACAGGAGCAACTAGATGCTCACCAGATTGAAGAATCAACCAGCCCTTGGAATTCTCTTGTATTTGTTGTTAAAAAGAAATCTGGAAACTGGAGAATGGTGACAAATCTAAGAGTGTGGAGAAAGTCATTCAACCAATGGGCCATCTACAATCTGGAATTCCTTTGTCTTCCCTATTACCTAAAGGATGGCCTCTTATAGTTATTGATTTAAAAGATTGTTTCTTCACTATGCCTTTACAAGAAAAAGAGAGGGGCTGGAGAGATGGCTCAGAGGTTAAGAGCATTGCCTGCTCTACCAAAGGTCCTGAGTTCAATTCCCACAACCACATGGTGGCTCACAACCATCTGTAATAGGGTCTGGTGCCCTCTTCTGGCCTGACAGACAGAATATCGTATACATAATAAATAAATAAATATTTTAAAAAAAAAGAAAAAGAGAGGAAAAAATTGCCTTCACAGTATCTACTTACAATAATTCTCAATCTACCAAGAGATACCAATGGAGGGTACTCCCAAAGGGAATGCTAAATAGCCCCACCCTTCACCAATATTTTGTAAGTCAGCCATTGGAAATAATATGTAAACAATTTCCTAAATCTATAGTTTACTATTACATTGATGATATTTTGCTATCTGACTCAAATGTAGATACCTTAGAAGAATGTTTGAAGAAATAAAGTTTTACCTAAATGGGGATTACAAATGGCTCCTGAAAAAAATACAAAGATGAGATTCTATCAATTACCTAGGTTATAAAATAGGTTTACAGAAAATTAGAACACAAAAAGTTCAAATTAGAAGAGATCAATTGCATACTCTTAATGACTTTCAAAGATTGCTAGGAGACACTTCCAATCTATAACCCACTTCTGGAATAACACCTGATCTAATAATTCATTTAAACAAAACCTTAGATGATGACAAAGACTTAAAATAATCCCAGGGAATGAATAGCTGTAGCTGAGAAAGAATTGACTTTGATTGAAGAGAAATTACAGGGGGGCATATATGAACAAATCTTAACTGGATTCTAGTCATACTACCCTCAAAATTTTCCCCTACTGGAATTCTAATGCAGAGGGAAGATAATATCTTAGAATGGATCTTTTTACCATATAAACTGAGTAAAAAATTAAAAACTTACATGGAAAAGATCTCTGAATTAATTATAAAAGGAAAATTGAGACTTCATCAATTGACAGGAATAGACCCAGCAAAGATTATAGTGACTTTCACTACTGATGAAATTTTAAAATTATGGGAAGACAATTAACCCTCACAAAGAACTAGTGCTAATTTTTTAGGAGAGATTAATAACAATTATCCTCGAAATCATAAAATTAACCTTATAAAGAAAGTTACTTGGATCGTTCCCCTCATTGTATGTGACACACCAATAACTGAAGCCCGTACATTCTATACTGATGCAAATAAACCAGGAAAGGCAGGTTACAAATCAGAAGATTCAATTAAAGTGGAAAAAAGCCCTTATTTTCGGTCAAAAAGTCAAATTATATGTTATTC